AATGGCGCGATCTCAGCTCACCACAACCTCCACCTCCTGGGTTCAGGCAATTCTCCTGCCTCAGCTCCTGAGTAGCTGGGATTACAGGCACGCACCACCATGCCCAGCTAATTTTTTGTATCTTTAGTAGAGACGGGGTTTCACCATGTTGACCAGGATGGTCTCGATATCTTGACCTCGTGATCCACCCGCCTCGGCCTCCCAAAGTGCTGAGATTACAGGCTTGAGCCACCGTGCCCGGCCTACACAGATTTTAAAAAAAAAGAACTAAGACCTGGAGATTAAATGGCATATCAGAAAAAATGTATCTGAACTTTAAACTCAGATTGTAGAATTTAAGGTCCAGTGCTCTTTCCCTTATTCCAAACATGGTTGAGACTTCAAAGATTTGTATTTTACCTGATTGACTCTAATAAGATTTGCTATTATTGGAACTTCAAAGAAACAAGTATTTCTCCACTCCTCATCCTTATACTCTGAGATGTATTTATTTTTCAAATACGTCTCCTCTTCTTAATCTCTTCCACCTGGTTCCTAGTGTAGGCTTCCATTATTTCCCTCCCAGAGTATCAAGGTCCTAATTGATCTCTAAGTATCTGGTATTGATCCTCTTTCATTTTCCTCCATCCCATTGCCAGATGCATCTATCTATAACCAAACTTGGCCACCTTGATTCCTCTGCCTAATAACATTTAATAACTCTCAAACTGATATCAATATAAAGAAATACTCTCAGAAGGCAGCGAGTTCTCTTGAAAAGTCTTTAAAATTCCTATATCTTGGTGAAATTTTAAAGCAATAAATATAAGAATCTTCTGAATCATTAAGATGATTACCTAATAACAAAGTACTGCCATCTACCTGACTGCAGTAACCATGACTGCATTTGGATTTACCTCAAGATGCTGATGCTAAGGCACGCTATATAAATAAAGGTTTTTGAAGTCTTTTAGCCACTAACAGTCATGAGACAATTAAGTGATCACATAAAACATGCATAATGATGCAAAAGTCAAAAGAACCTGTACCATAACGTTTGGTACCATACCAATTTTTCCAAATGTATTTTCAAAACATACTCCATTGTTATGCTTACCCAATTGCAGTGGTTCTGTATCAATAGGCATATTGAAATATAAAAAACTGAACTGCCAGTACCAGAGATAATGTAGAACTCAATAATGCTCTAAAGCTAAGGTCAAGTGAAGAAAAATGTTTGTGTACTTTTCAAGTAACACCATTTAAATTCGCTTTCAAAGCCTAACAGTAACAGAGTTCACATTAAGAATTAAGTTAGATTATTTTGACATGGCAATTAAATCTTTGAAGTTAGTAGTACTATCCCAACAACATACATTTTCAACAAATGCATTAATATTATATTGGAGAAAAATATTTTATCTGTTAATTAAACCATACACAATAGTCAAATTTAAATCATTTTGATATACAAAAATGTCAGATATTAAGTTAGTAATGATAGTTCAAATTCACTGGTTTTATAAATATTTTATTTTCAAATGTTTTCTTGTTTTGCCAGTGTATTACTTTTTTTCAGGGCTGCCATCATAAACTACCACAAGCTGAGTGGGTAAAGACAATAGAATTTTATTATTGCACAATTCTAGGGGCTAGAAGTCTGAAATCAAGGTGTTGGCAAGATCGTTTCCTTCTGAGAGTTCTGACGGAAAATATATCCAGTGCTTCTCTGTCTTTGAGGTTCTGGTGGCTGTGGACAATCCATAGCATTCCTTGGCTTGCAGCTGTATCTGCTCCCGTGATACATGCTCCCTGTGTGTCTTTGTGTCTCTGTATCCAAACTTCTCTCTTCAGTTATTGGGTTAAGGCCAACCCCAAACCACTATGGTCTCATCTTAACTTGATTTATATCTACAAAATCCCTCTTTCCAAATTTAAATCATTTGGTCACATTCATAGGTACTGGGGATTATGATTTTGACATATCCTTTTAGGGTACACAATTTAACTGACAAGTCATATTAAGAGGTATAAGCATAAGAATTTCTAATCTACTTTTATTTTTAAACATATTTATCTAATGTTGTAAACAAGAATAATATAAATCCTCATTGGGGTTCTGCAATAATTGTCTTTCCTTTTAACAGGAGCCTGTATATTATTCATCTAGGAGAAGGTTGACCTAAAGTACAGAGCCTGAGATCCCTATCCTGTCACATTAGACCTTCAGCAACCTAGAACTGGCCCTCTCCATGGCCATCCTCAACCTTAATTCCCTGGCATTTTATTCTTCAGCAAAATATAAGGCTGTTTACAATTCCCCAACACACAGCACATTATTTTATGCTTTCTTGCCCTTTTTCCTTCTGTCCCCTCTGCTTGTAATGTTCTTCCCTTCCCAACTTCCTGATCCCTTACCTGTGTCGTTTTCTGACTCCTATTCAGTCTCAGTTCAACTGCCATCTTTTCCCAAAAGTCCTCTGTGAAGACCAACCACCTCCACCATCAGCACCATCACCAACCTCAGGCTCTGAGTGAAGTGGACCCCAAGAGGACTCTCATTTTCCCACACATCTATCTCCCAACTGACAAACGCCATGATCTCAGGGACTGTATCTTCTCCATATTTCATCTCCAGCTTGTAGCACAGTGATCATCTCAATTTTAAATGAAGGTCTGCACATGTGAGATGGAAAGATTTTCAGCCACAGTTCCAAGATGCTGCTTGCATTCTAATTTATACTCCTGCTGAAAGAGGTATTGCAATTGCCTCATGTGGGAGGTTAGTAACAGAAGTTTGTCACCTAAGCAGTGAGCAAACTCACACAAATGTGTCTGTCATTAAAAGTGACTTATTTGTCCTCTTTGATTGACTACATACCTTTTTATATGACAGAGATTTGTGGATTTAGTGATATGGAAAGATCTCAGTGGCTCAAAAATTTTAGTCTTGTTTTGCTGGAGTACCCTGGGTACACAGAGGAATCTAATGAAAGAACGGACTAGAAAGATAAAATGAGTACATATTTTAAATGACTTCAATGACATTGAAAGCCAAAATAAATTTGCAGACTTTGCTTTTCATAGACTGAGTAGTCACGGTTTTTTAGAAAGGAATGAGATGTAATTCATTTTGTACAGACCAAAATGTCACACACTGATCCTCCATACTAAGTATAATGGGATCAGAGTTCCATTAATCTGTACTTCTAAAATGACAAATAATCTAATTATTCCCACTTGGATTTTGAAACTCATATATATATATATATATATATATATATATATATATATATATATAAAGTGATTTTGTTATCTGTAAAATACTAGAAGTCCAAGATGATATATATATCATCTTGGACTTCTAGTATTTTACAGATAACAAAATCACTTTATTTTCCAGATTGCTCTTTTGCTAATAATTAGCTTCCATCATTTCTCATAATAGCTTAAAATAAAGCCCTGTTCTCTCTTAAACTGGCTGGTTCAAAGTACTGTGGATTGATTAAATGGTCAGGTCAGATTCTTTATTAATTTATTCAAAACTAGTTAAAGCAGTTTAACAGTTATCAAAAAGCAGCTTTGCCTATTTTAGCTGAATCTTTTGTTATATTTAAAAGTTATATTGTATCTCTTTTGGAGTTATTTAACTTTAAAGTTTTAGGAATGATAACTCATTATATGGGGATAAAATGTTATGAGAAATGACAATAAATATAAGAATTAAATTTCAATTACATCTGACATAATTCATTATTTTAGTCAAATTAAAACCAACACAAATAGAATTGCCAAAAACACAGAAATAACACTCTTGACTAAGTTCTTCAGGTTCTCTCAGGGGAATTACCTGAGATCCATGCTGCAAAGCTGATGATATATTAATTGTGTTTAGAAGAATCTAGTCTATGAAAATGTACTCAGTGAAATTAACTTTGAAATAGAGCCAGTGTATATGTTTGGGATATTCATAGCATTAAATTATAACCCACATTTCCCTTTTTAAATGGCTCTCTATATGCCATCTGTGGAGCCATTACAAAATTTCAGCTTTTAAAACACATATATTAAGGCTTACATTTTACTGGGTAGCTAGGTAACCTTTTTGTTTTGACTTTTGTTTTTAAAACTTAGCCTTAAATCACTAAATTATGTACTTTTCTGCTTGGTAGAGACAAAATTGTCATTTAGCTTTCAAGTAAACTAAAACTCTAAAAGGTGGACTGTTTTAGTTCATTTGATGCCTTATTAAGTAGAATAAATTTTGGAAGTGGAATACCACTTGGAGTCTAAACATCTTGCAACATTTTCAGGTCGGTATTCTAAACATCTCCTTGTAGCATTTTCCTTTTGCAATTCTCTAAATGTGATGGAAGATTGGAATGAAAGTGTCCCAGAATATCAAATACTCTCTCTCAACATTTTAAGGAAAAGCCTCCTTTGTGTTCATTTTAATCTCATTTTCCTTTTTTCCCCTAATGTTAAAAACAGATTGCAGGTGGGAAGATTCTTCTTAATTAAAATTTGAATGAGTTGAGTTTAATGTATCAAGGTTTAATTATAAATTAAATATATGTAAATTAAATGAGACCATGGATCCAACTAGACTGTTTCTATTCATCACAACTAATCCTTTCCTAGATTCGAAAACTGCATTATTAATATATCAAAACCAACTTTACGATTTTCTAAAAACAGCCATGTATTTTTACATCTGAGAAGTACTATGTTCCAGAGGAAACGGTAACATTCCGTTGTATATCAGCAGCAATATTTATTATTTTTTTAGTGAGATTGATATTTATCAAGAAATGCCAGTGTGATTATCTTGAGCCAAATATACTGCATAATAGGAGTTTATATGGGTTTATTCAATGTATGTGTGTGTTTCATGAATACTTTCAAGTTACATGAATTCTCTCTAGTAAATTTTACTCTATAGTTACCTTAATATTTTGTAGGTTTACCAAATTAAAAATGACATTTTATGTAATGTATGATTTTTTTTTTTCCATGTTCAGGTTCTCTCTTTAGGAGCAGACGTCCTACCCGAATACAAACTGCAGACACCACGCATCAACAAGTTTACGATATTGCACTACAGCCCTTTCAAGGCAGTCTGGGACTGGCTTATTCTATTGTTGGTCATATACACTGCTATATTTACTCCCTACTCTGCAGCCTTCCTCCTCAATGACAGAGAAGAACAGAAAAGACGAGAATGTGGCTATTCTTGTAGCCCTTTGAATGTGGTAGACTTGATTGTGGATATTATGTTTATCATAGATATTTTAATAAACTTCAGAACAACATATGTAAATCAGAATGAAGAAGTGGTAAGTGATCCCGCCAAAATAGCAATACACTACTTCAAAGGCTGGTTCCTGATTGACATGGTTGCAGCAATTCCTTTTGACTTGCTGATTTTTGGATCTGGTTCTGATGAGGTAAGAACTGCTTAAGATTCTTATTTTCTGAAAGATTGCAATTATAAAAGTGAATCTGTTTTAACTGCACAAAGAGTAGTTGCTTTGCAAGCTTCTTGTATCTCATAGATAAAATTAATTTTCAATTGGGGATGCTAAAGAATGAAATGAAATCATTTTGCCATTGCAAATCAAATTCTTTCTGTTTTTTGCTAAGAGGTGCAAAACGCTCTCCATTCTTTACCCACCAAATTAAACTTGGAAACAAGTGGTCCATAGCACACGGCACATTCCCAGGATTTAAAAATCTCTACTTATTAACTTCACAGGGTAAAACTGTCAAATATTAAGTATGTCTCTGTTTTTCTTAACTCATTATTATGGTTTGAGACAGCAGAGACTTGTTTTTTGTTCAAATTATGTGAAGAGGGCACCTTCTGAAATGCCTTATTCAAAAATGCTTTCTCTTAAATAATACTTAGCCTGGAAAGTACTTCTTGCATATCCCAATTCCTAATAAAATTGGAAACTGAGAAAATATGAGAAGTGTATGTATTGTGCATTTTCGGCATGGAGGAACTTTAATCAGCTCCTCAAAAGACTCTTTGATCCAAAAGAAATTAAGTTTTCCTACAGTTCACTTCATATAGTTGCTGCTATTTTTTACCATTTATAAATTTTCTGAATTCTATAATGGAAAGATTTAGAGAATGCTTGAAAAGTAGTTCCAAGGGAATAGGTTGAAAAAGATAACCTCAGTATATTGAATCTTTAAAAATTGTGTCTTTTTCTACATAAGAACCCTGCCTTGCACCAAGTGCCTCTTCTCCTCCAGAAAGAGAACAACTCCTCTTGGCAATGGTTACTTCCTAGCCATTGAAGGCTTTAGAATAAGATAATCCTCCTTGACCAAGGGGAACCAAAAGATTTTATTTCTAAATCTGTTTATTGGTTAGAAATAAACTCTCTCCTACAGACCATGCTGATGAATCTAAGAGTCAGTTAAGAAGAGGGCAATGCAACAATACATTTTTCCTGGGTGCTACATTTTTGTTTTGTTTTGTTTGTTTGTTTGTTTGTTTGTTTGTTTGTTTGTTTGTTTGAGATGGAATCTCACTCTGCCTCCCTGGCTGGAGTGCAGTGATGTGATCTCGGCTCACTGCAACCTCCGCCTCCTGGGTTCAAGCAATTCTCCTGCCTCAGCCTCTGGAGTAGCTGGGACTATAGTCGCATGTCACCACACCCTACTAATTTTTTTTGTGTGTGTATTTTTAGAAAAGACGAGTGTTTCACTGTTTTAGCCAGGATGGTCTCAATCTCCTGACCTCATGATCCACCCACTTTGATCTCCACAAGTGCTGGGATTACAGGAGTGAGCCACCTTGCCCAGACCCTGGGTTCTATAATTTTAAACAAAGTGCCAAACCTGACTTTCCTAATCTGTAAAAGGAGGATAATTAACATTACCTTCTTTTCTCGATTTTTTTTTCTAATTTGAGACTCTAATGAGATAATACATGTGATTTAGCAAAATTCTTTTTAAAAATCAGCTGTTCTTAAATTAGCTGAACTCTTAATGTTAGCTACTCCTAACTTTGGGTTTTAACTAAAAAACAAGAGAGTAAAATACTTCTTTATTAATATATATCTTTGAGTTTCTTATAATAGGTAATTCATATCATTACACAAAATAAGCTTATGTTGATGAACAATATAATAAAACCTCATTCTTTCAAAGTTAAAATGTATGCACCAACAGCAAACACTAGTGATTTTGTAGAAAAGCTTAGAAGTATAATGGAAGAAGTTTTCAGAAGTTTGTGTTTTTTAAATTTTAAGTCTGAATTTTAAAATACTCTGAAAATTCTGAACATAATGTGTTACTACCAAATTAAAATCTAGTACTGCTGCCAATGTAGATCTTAGAACTAGAAGTAACCACAAGCAATCATCTAGTACAATCCTCTGCCTAGGAAGTTAAAGTACTATTCCCATTTTACAGATGAGACTGTTGAAAACTAGAATTGTTCAATGATATGCTCAGTCCTATTTTCTGCATTACTCTTAGTCAATGATACTTTATTCATTCAACAAGTTTTTATTGGGTATGCTTCAAAGTGACAGGCACTGTCTTGTGTTTTGAGATTCAGAAGTAAATCAGACAAATTTACGTTCTCCGGGAACTTACATTCTAGGATCAAGGAAGAGGGGGTAGGGGATAGAAGAGGGCAGAAGACAGTTAATAAACAAACACAGCACAGGATAGTTTCAGGAAAGAGTAAATTATGTGACGATAACAAAATGTGTGGATATGATAGAGAATGACCTGGATGGATGGCTAATTTGAATTGGAAGTTACCAAAGGCCAATGAGGAGAGGCCATTTGAGTTGAGACTTGACAGGGAGCAACCATCCACTTGAGACCACTGTGCAGAGCATTTTACATAGAAGAGGAAACACTAGTGAAAATGTCACATTTGGGAAGCGCGTTTGTTGTGGTAGAGGAACAGAAAACTGGCCAGTGGCTGCCAGGCTGAACCACACAATAAGAGGTGGAATGCTATGGTTTGAGGAGACAGAGACAGGGACCGAATCACATAGAGATGTAGAATTTCTTATTTATGCTCGCTGCAATGGAATCTTTGGAATGGGAATGATATTCTATGATGGACATTTTGAAGACTACAAAGGCTGTCATCTGCATATTGGAGAGTCAGGGTAGGAGCAGGGAACCAGTTCAGAGCACATGATGTGATGTAGGACAAAACAACAGCTTGGTAGCAACCAAGATCAAGAAAAGTAAAGAAATGGGGGATATATTTTGGAGGTGAGCTGCCAAGACTTGTTGATGGATTAAGTATTGAATGGAAGAGTAGGAGAAAGAGCAGAATTAAGGGTGGTACAAACATTTTTTGTTGTTTGTTTATTCTTATTGAAACATTCCTTTGGTGAAGGACAGAAGAGTTGCCTAAGCAAAATTATAAATGGTAATCTATTTATTCAGATAGAAAATCCTTGGGGAGAAAAATTGTGTTGTGGGAAAGAAATTCCTGTATTAGCAACCTTAAATTTGTGATGACTGTTGGTTATTCAACTACAGGTGGCATGTAGGCAGTCAAGTACTCCATGAGCACCTAGAAAGATAATATGTGAGTATAAGAAGAGAAATGAGATCCATTAATTAAAAGTTAGATATAATCTTGGCAAAGTTTGGTTTGGATCAGCTTCTGTACAAGAACCATGTATCAATTTCATGTGTGGATCTCTTATAGGTCTGGAGACACATATTTGACAGGTTTAAAATAAAGTCTTAAAACTTACACTTTTTAAAGTGGCAGGGATGATTTTGTTGTTTAGACAAACAAGATCCAGTGGCCATATCTGGGATAAAGAGGAATCCCAGGAAAGGTCTTTCATGTGTTCATAGATAAATATTTCTACTAAATAAATGCATAAGTACATAAATAAATGTGTGAGTACATAAATGAACAAATTAAGAGTGATTTTCAACAAGTTATAAGAACAGTCATAATTTCTTAATTGCTTAATTGTAAGACAAGTTCCTGTTCTGTCACCCAAGCTGGAGTGCAGTGGTGTGATCTCAGCTTGATGCAGCCTCTGCCTCCTGGGCTCAAGTGATCCTCTACCTCAGCCTCCAGAGGAGCTGGGACTATAGGCACATGCCACCACACCCGGCTAAGTTTTGTAATTTTTGTAGAGAAGTTTCAATTTGTTACCCAGGCTGATCTCGAACTCTGAGCTCAAGTGATCCACTGGCTTCAGCCTCCCAAAGTGCTGGAATTACAGGCGTGAGCCACTGTGCCCGGGCCTAAAATGTTTTCTATCCATTGCAGGATTGCAGATGAGCTTAGAAAATGTAATTTTGTCAATGTCAATCAAACATTAATGTCTTCTTTGCCAATTTCTTCATATGTTAAGCTACTGTAATGCTTTTACTTTATTTACATTCAACCCTAGAAAAAGATTCAAATATATCTATATTATATAATATATGTAAGGTATTAATAAATGCTAAGAGAATATGTTGTCATATACATTTTTACCAAAGAAGACATGGGACAACTGCTCATATTTTTCTAAATAACCATTTAATTTTTTTCTACATAATTAGAAATCACCTACAATAGAGGATCTTCTATAATGTTAAAAACATGTTGAAGAAAATAAATACTGGCAATAACTAGGCTTGCCTCTGTCATTAATATCTTCCTGATGATAATGTTGTCCAGAGAGACAATAGAAGGATTCTCTCTTTCCTAATTTTTGCATCATCAAACATCATACAACCCATTACCTCAATCACTGAGAAATTTTCTCTGTATCATTGGTGCAAAGGAAGAATGCTATTGTCTCAGTATCCAGAAAGTTAACTTTTTATTATCTGCCTCATATTTTCCCATATTTAGCTCATCTGTGGCAAATCTTAATTTCAGAGATATTAACAGCTAAAATCTATAAAATTCTTCTCATTACATGCTTCATTAACCTCTTACTCCCCAGAAAATTAAGATTCTTGCAATTCATTATTTGCTTCATTGGCCCTTCTCCTTTCACACATTACTGTTTTTTCTGAATACTGAATACAAGCAAGAAAGACCTTTGAAACCTAAGTGATTACCGTGCTCTTTGAAGGAAAATTCCAATAGATAAGAGGATTTCCTATTAATGATATGTTTGATTTATTAGTCTGATAGATGAATTGTGAAATGGATGCAAGAAAAATCTTAGCAGGCATCTGTGTGCAGACTCTGATCATTTTCACAGCTGAACTTGAGCTTTACAATAGATGTCATTAGTTTACTTCTAAAACATCTGACATAAATAATCATATTCAACTTTTAGGAACAAATCACATTTTGAGGACACATATACATATACATGATTACACATAAAATTGCTAAATCTCCTTAGTTTCTGGGAGTTTAGACAGAAGTTTCTATTGGCTTATATTTGGAGCTATTGGTCATAAATGTATGAGATGATGTGTAAGAGATATAAGA